AACACAAAGTAAAGATTTCCCGTGTAGCCTCTTAACAGACTGTAGGGGCAAGTGCTGTTAGCGAGCACCCCACCCACTCACCCTGTCACCCACCCACCCACTCACCCTGTAACCCACTCACATCCACTCACAAACCCACCCACTCACCCACCAACTCACCCACTCCTTCACCCACCCACTCCCTCACCCAATCATCCACCCACTCACCCACCCACTCACCCACCCACCCACTCACCCACCCACTCACCCACCCACTCAATCGCCCACCCAATCGCCCACCCACTCACTCACCCACTCCCTCACCCAATCGCCCACCCACTCACCCACCCACCCACTCACCCACCCACCCACTCACCCACCCACTCAATCGCCCACCCACTCACCCACCCACTCCCTCACCCAATCGCCCACCCACCCACTCCCTCACCCACCCACTCCCTCACCCATTCACCCACCCACTCACTCACCCACTCACCCACCCACCCACCCACTCACCCACCCACCCACTCACCCACCCACTCAATCACCCACCCAATCGCCCACCCACTCACCCACCCACTCCCTCACCCAATCGCCCACCCACCCACTCCCTCACCCACCCACTCCCTCACCCACTCACCCACCCACCCACTCACCCACCCACCCACTCACCCACCCACTCACCCACCCACTCCCTCACCCAATCGCCCACTCACCCACCCACCCACTCCCTCACCCACCCAATCACTCAGCCACCCACCAACTCCTTCACCCACTCACTCATCCCCCCCCCACTATCCAACCCACCCACCCACTCACCACCCACACAAAGACAAAGCTCCCCCGTATAGCCTTAACAGACTGTAGGGGCAAGTGCTGTTAGCGAGCACCAGCTATGAAGGCCGGAACGGTACACGAGGGGGTGGGTGGCCAGCACCACCACGCCCGGCCGCCTTTGTCTCTCCCCCAGTGGAGATGCTTACCACACACAGTGCGCTAACCACTGCACCACCACTCCCCACACACACACACTGCGCTAACCACTGCACCACCACTCCCCACACACACAGTGCGCTAACCACTGCACCACCACTCCCCACACACACACAGTGCGCTAACCACTGCACCACCACTCCCCACTCACACACAGTGCGCTAACCACTGCACCACCACTCCCCATCTATACACACACAGTGCGCTAACCACTGCACCACCACTCCCCACACGCACACAGTGCGCTAACCACTGCACCACCAGTCCCCACACACACACACAGTGCGCTAACCACTGCACCACCACTCCCCACACGCACACAGTGCGCTAACCACTGCACCACCACTCCCCACACACACAGTGCGCTAACCACTGCACCACCACTCCCCACACACACACAGTGCGCTAACCACTGCGCCACCGCTCCCCCCCCACACACACAGTGCGCTAACCACTGCACCACCACTCCCGCCACACACACAGTGCGCTAACCACTGCACCACCACTCCCCACAAACACACATAGTGCGCTAACCACTGCACCACCACTCCCCACAAACACACAGTGCGCTAACCACTGCACCACCACTCCCCACAAACACACACAGTGCGCTAACCACTGCACCACCACTTCCCATTCACACACACAGTGCGCTAACCACTGCACCACCACTCCCCACACACACAGTGCGCTAACCACTGCACCACCACTCCCTACACACAGTGCGCTAACCACTGCACCACCACTCCCCACACACACACAGTGCGCTAACCACTGCACCACCACTCCCCACACACACACAGTGCGCTAACCACTGCACCACCACTCCCCATTCACACACACAGTGCGCTAACCACTGCACCACCACTCCCACCACACACACAGTGCGCTAACACTGCACCACCACTCCCCACACACACACAGTGCGCTAACCACTGCACCACCACTCCCTACACACAGTGCGCTAACCAATGCACCACCACTCCCCACTCACACACACAGTGCGCTAACCACTGCACCACCACTCCCCACACACACACACAGTGCGCTAACCACTGCACCACCACTCCCCACTCACACAGTGCGCTAACCACTGCACCACCACTCCCCACTCACACAGTGCGCTAACCACTGCACCACCACTCCCCACACACACACAGTGCGCTAACCACTGCACCACCACTCCCCCCACACACACAGTGCGCTAACCACTGCACCACCACTCCCCACTCACACACAGTGCGCTAACCACTGCACCACCACTCCCCACTCACACACACAGTGCGCTAACCACTGCACCACCACTCCCCACACACACACAGTGCGCTAATCACTGCACCATCACTCCCCACACACACACAGTGCGCTAACCACTGCACCACCACTCCCCACACACACACACAGTGCGCTAACCACTGCACCACCACTCCCCACTCACACACACAGTGCGCTAACCACTGCACCACCACTCCCTACACACAGTGCGCTAACCACTGCACCACCACTCCCCACTCACACACAGTGCGCTAACCACTGCACCACCACTCCCCACAAACACACAGTGCGCTAACCACTGCACCACCACTCCCCACACACACACAGTGCACTAACCACTGCACCACCACTCCCCACTCACACACACAGTGCGCTAACCACTGCACCACCACTCCCTACACACACAGTGCGCTAACCACTGCACCACCACTCCCCACACACAGTGCGCTAACCACTGCACCACCACTCCCCACACAAACACAGTGCGCTAACCACTGCACCACCACTCCCCACTCACACACACACAGTGCGCTAACCACTGCACCACCACTCCCCCCACACACACACAGTGCGCTAACCACTGCACCACCACTCCCCACTCACACACACAGTGCGCTAACCACTGCACCACCACTCCCTACACACAGTGCGCTAACCACTGCACCACCACTCCCCACTCACACACAGTGCGCTAACCACTGCACCCCCACTCCCCACACACACAGTGCGCTAACCACTGCACCACCACTCCCCACAAACACACAGTGCGCTAACCACTGCACCACCACTCCCCACACACACACAGTGCACTAACCACTGCACCACCACTCCCCCCACACACACAGTGCGCTAACCACTGCACCACCACTCCCCACTCACACACAGTGCGCTAACCACTGCACCACCACTCCCCACACGCACACAGTGCGCTAACCACTGCACCACCACTCCCCACACAAACACAGTGCGCTAACCACTGCACCACCACTCCCCACTCACACACACACAGTGCGCTAACCACTGCACCACCACTCCCCCCACACACACACAGTGCGCTAACCACTGCACCACCACTCCCCACACACACACAGTGCGCTAACCACTGCACCACCACTCCCCACACACACACACAGTGCGCTAACCACTGCACCACCACTCCCCACACGCACACAGTGCGCTAACCACTGCACCACCACTCCCCACTCACACACACAGTGCGCTAACCACTGCACCACCACTCCCCACAAACACACAGTGCGCTAACCACTGCACCACCACTCACACGCACGCGGTGACGTCATCACGCCCGCAACTGCTTCAGTTAAATGACGTCACCGCGTACGCATCTCTTTTTCGACGCGGCGATGTCATCGAGAACAACCCCTACCCCCCCCGTCTCAGTGACGTAACCAATGCACGTGCCTCAGACGCGATGACGTCATCACGTCAATGGCGACGTTCCCACGCACTCCCGCATAACCAAAGTGCTCACTCCCCAATGACGTCATCACGCACGAGTCCCTTCCGTTGCGTAGACGTCATTACGCACGCTTATTCCCCCCGCCCACCGTGTCGACGTCATCACGCACGTCACCCGCTCTCATTTCTCCTCTTGTGACGTCATCACGCACCAACGCTTTTTGATCCGTTCCTTGTAGACGACGTCATTTCGCACGTATCTCTTCTAATACGTGACGTCATGACGCACGCTTGTTCCCCCCTATATCCGTATCGACGTCATCACGCACACCTGTCCCACTGGTAACTCTCTCTCTCTCCCCCCCTCAGTACGTCATCGCGCACGTATCGCTTCCAACACAATGACGTCATCGCGCGCGCTTCACCCTTCTGCCGACGTCATCACGCACTCCCCCTTCCACCGGAGACTATCGAAACCCCCCCTCTTTATTCGTGACGTCATCACGCATCGTTAGGCTCTACCTCCCCCCCTACGGACGTCATCACGCACCTATCTCTTCCTACGCGATGACGTCATCACGCACGCCTCCCCCCCCCCACCCGTGCCTACGTCTTTACCCCCCCCCTCCCGAGAAGAAACCCCCCCACACTCTCCTTTCGTGACGTAACCACGCATAGTGACCCTCTCTCCCTCCACATCCCACGGACGTCATCACGCACCTATCTCTTCCTACGCGATGACGTCATCACGCACGCCTCCCCCTCACCTGTGGCTACGTCTTTACGGACACCCCCCCTCCCGAGAAGAAACCCCTCCCCCACTCTCCTTTCGTGACGTAATCACGCATCGTTAGCCTCTCTCCTCCACATCCCACGGACGCCATCACGCACCTATCTCTTCCTACGCGATGACGTCATCACGCACGCTTCCTCACGCGTGCCAACGTCTTTACGCACACCCCCCACGAGAAGAAACCCCTCCCCCGCAATCTCCTTTCGTGACGTAATCACGCATCGTGACCCTCTCTCCTCCACATCCTACCGACGTCATCACGCACCTATCTCTTCCTACGCGATGACGTCATCACGCACGCCTCCCCCACCCGTGCCCACGTCTTTACGCACACCGTCCCCCCCCCACCCAGAGAAGAAACCCCTCCCCCACTCTCTCCTTTCCTGACGTAATCACGCATCGTTAGCCTCTCTCCCTCCACATCCCACCGACGTCATCACGCACCTATCTCTTCCTACTCGATGACCTCATCACGCACGCTTCCCCCCCTCCCCCCCTTGTCCGTACGTCATCACGCACCCCAACGCCCCTCCCCCCCCACCACCGCCACCAATTCGCTCGCGCGCTAAAAGGAGAGAAGATGGCGGCGCGTGGAGGCTTCGGCTGAGGTTGAGGGGGGAGAATCCGCTCGGAGATCCTCCCCTTCCCCTTCTTCCTACCTCCTCGTCGTCTTCTTCTTCTTCGTCGTGGTGAGAAACCCACACGCACTCCCCTCACCCGGGCGGGCGGGCAGAGACGCTGAGAACAGGACGGGGTTTTTTTTTTGCAGTGAGGTGTGAGGGGGGGTGTGGGGGTGAAGGGGGTTTGTAGGCCGAAGCCTCGGGCTCGCCTGGGCTTGGGGGCCGCGGGGCCTCGGGGTCTCGTCGGGTGCGCCGAGCGAGGCGAGGCCGTGGCTCGGGCCTGCACACCCCGAGGGGAGGGTGAGGAGGGGGGGTGAGTTTGGTGGTGGTTGTTGTTGTGGTGGTTGTTGTAGTGGTTGTTGTTGTGGTGGTTGTGGTAGTGGTTGTTGTTGTAGTTGTGGTAGTTGTGGTGGTTGTTGTTGTGGTTGTTGTTGTGGTGGTCGTTGTTTGTAGTGGTGGTTGTTGTTGTTGTGGTAGTTGTTGTTGTGGTTGTTGTGATGGTTGTTGTGGTAGTAGTTGTGGTTGTGCTTGTTGTGGTGGTTGTTGTGGAGGTGGTTGTTGTGGTGGTTATTGTGGAGGTGGTGGTTGCTGTGGTGGAGGTGGTGGTTGCTGTGGTGGTTGTTGTGGAGGTGGTGGTTGTTGTTGTGGTTGTTGTGGTGATGGTTGTTGTGGTGGTGGTTGTTGTGGTGGTGGTTGTTGTGGTGATGGTTGTTGTGATGGTTGTTGTGGAGGTGGTGGTTGTTGTTGTGGTTGTGGTGGTTGTTGTGGTGGTTGTTGTTGTGGTAGTTGTTGTTGTGGTGGTCGTTGTTTGTAGTGGTTGTTGTTGTGGTGGTGGTTGTTGTTGTCGTTGTGGTAGTTGTTGTGGTTGTTTTGGTGATGGTTGTTGTTGTTGTGGTAGTTGTTGTTGTTGTGGTTGTGCTTGTTGTGGTGGTTGTTGTGGTTATTGTGGAGGTGGTTGTTGTGGTGGTGGTTGTGGATGTGGTGGTTGTGGTGGTTGTGGAGGTGGTGGTTGTTGTGGTGATGGTTGTTGTGGAGGTGGTGGTTGCTGTGGTGGAGGTGGTGGTTGCTGTGGTGGTTGTTGTGGTGGTGGTGGTTGTGGTTGTTGTGGTGATGGTTGTTGTGGAGGTGGTGGTTGTTGTGGTGGTTGCTGTGGTGGTGGTTGCTGTGGTGGTTGTGGTGGTGGTTGTTGTGGTGGTGGTTGTTGTGGTGATGGTTGTTGTGGTGGTTGTTGTGATGGTTGTGGTTGTGGTGGTTGTTGTGGTGGTTGCTGTGGTGGTGGTTGTTGTGGAGGTGGTGGTTGTTGTTGTGGTTGTTGTGGTGATGGTTGTTGTGGAGGTGGTGGTTGTTGTTGTGGTGGTTGTTGTGGTGGTTGTGGAGGTGGTGGTTGTTGTGGTGATGGTTGTTGTGGAGGTGGTGGTTGTTGTGGTGGAGGTGGTGTTTGCTGTGGTGGTTGTGGTAGTGGTGGTTGTTGTTGTAGTTGTGGTGGTGATGGTTGTTGTGGTGATGGTTGTTGTGGAGGTGGTGGTTGTTGTGGTGGTGGTTGTTGTTGTAGTTGTGGTGGTTGTTGTCGTGGTTGTTGTGGAGGTTGTTGTGGTTGCTGTGGTGGAGGTGGTGGTTGCTGTGGTGGTTGTTGTGGAGGTGGTGGTTGTTGTTGTGGTTGTTGTGGTGATGGTTGTTGTGGTGATGGTTGTTGTGGAGGTTGTGGTTGTGGTGGTTGTTGTGGTGATTGTTGTTGTGGAGGTGGTGGTTGTGGTGGTTGTGGAGGTGGTGGTTGTTGTGGAGGTGGTGGTTGTTGTGGAGGTGGTGGTTGTTGTGGAGGTGGTGGTTGTTGTAGTTGTGGTGGTTGTTGTTGTCGTGGTGGTTGTTGTGGTGGTGGTGGTTGTGGAGGTGGTGTTGTTGTATTCGTTGTTGTGGTGGTTGTTGTGGTTGTGGAGGTGGTGGTTGTTGTGTTGGTGGTTGTGGAGGTGGTGGTTGTTGTTGTGGTGTTGTTGTGCTTGTTGTCGTGGTTGTTGTGGTGGTTGTTGTGGTGGTGGTTGTTGTGGTGGTGGTTGTGGTGGTTGTTGTGGTGGTTGTCGTGGTTGTTGTGGTGGTTGTTGTGGTGGTGGTTGTTGTGGTAGTTGTTGTTGTGGTAGTTGTGGTGGTGATTGTTGTGGTAGTTGTGGTTGTTGTGGAGGTGGTGGTTGTGGAGGTGGTGGTTGTGGTGGTTGTTGTGGTGGTTGTGGAGGTGATTGTTGTGGTGTTGTTGTTCTGGTGGTTGTTGTGGTGGTGGAGGTTGTGCTGGTTGTGGCGGTGGTTGTAGTGATGGTGGGGAGATACACAGAGAGAGAGACACACAGAGAGACACATAGAGAGAGACACACAGAGACACACACACACAGAGACACACAGAGACACACACACAGACACACAGAGAGAGACGGTGTATAGATCTTCATCCCTCTCTCTCCCTTCTCTTCTCAGGCTAGGCCTAAGCCTGTCACAATTCTGGACGACAAACTACATACCTTCTACGGAAGGCTTTTTTAATTGATTCAGGTGAGTCTGTGTGTGTATCTGTGTGTGTCTGTGTGTGTGTCTGTGTGTGAGAGTCTGTGTGTATCTGTGTGTGTGTGTGTGTGTCTATGTGTGAGAGTCTGTGTGTGTCTGTGTGTGTATCTGTGTGTTTGTGTGAGTGTCTGTGTGAGTGTCTGTGTGAGTGTCTGTGTGTGTATCTGTGTGTGTCTGTGTGTGTATCTGTGTGTGTCTGTGTGTGTGTGTTTGTGTGCGAGTCTGTGTGTGTATCTGTATGTGTATCTGTGTGAGTGTCTGTGTGTGTATATGTGTGTGTGTATGTGTGTGTGTGTATCTGTGTGTGTGTGTTTGTGTGCGAGTCTGTGTGTGTGTCTGTATGTGTGTCTGTGTGTATCTGTGTGAGTGTTTGTGTGTGTATCTGCATGTGTTTGTGTGCGAGTCTGTGTGTGTGTCTGTATGTGTATCTGTGTGAGTGTCTGTGTGTGTGTCTGTGTGCGTGTCTGTGTGTGTGTGTCTGTGTGTGTGTCTGTGTGTGTGTCTGTGTGTGTATCTGTGTGAGTGTCTGTGTGTGTATCTGTGTGTGTATGTGTGTGTGTCTGTGTGTGTATCTGTATGAGTGTTTGTGTGTGTATCTGTGTGTGTGTGTCTGTGTGTGTATCTGTGTGTATGTGTGTGTGTCTGTGTGTGTGTGTGTGTATCTGTGTGTGTATCTGTGTGTGTGTCTGTGTGTGTATCTGTGTGTATGTGTGTGTCTGTGTGTGTATCTGTGTGTATGTGTGTGCGAGTCTGTGTGTATCTGTGTGTATGTGTGTGTGTGTGTCTGTGTGTGTATCTGTGTGTATGTGTGTGTGTTTGTGTGTGTGTCTGCGGTAGTGTAGCAGCGGTTAGCGCTACGCTGCGCTATGAACCTGGCGACCCGGGTTCGATTCCCGCTCACGGTCAACACCGGTGACGATTATCTGAACCGGTCCCGGGCCTCCTCTCAAATGAGTAGCCTGGTGCTGTGCGGTGTGTAGTAAACATCGCTACTGGGGAGACAAAGGCGGTCGGGCGTGGTGCTGGCCACCCACCCCCTCGTGTACCGTTCCGGCCTTAATAGCTGGTGCTCGCTAACAGCACTTGCCCCTACAGTCTGTTAAGGCTATACGGGGGATCTTTGTATGTGTGTGTGTGTGAGTGTGTGTGGGGTGCGACAGGGATGTCCTCTGGCTCCCACATCACTTAACATCTATTTTGACCACTTAGTTTGTGAAGCCTTCAATAGCTGTACCGGAGGAATCTCCATCTGGTACAGGTGCAGTGGGAGGCTGATCGATGCCCGGGTGCGGTCAAGGGACGGCTCCCTATTGCTCAACCACGTTATCTATGCTGATGATTTGGTAATAGCTGCTCAGTCAGAGGAGGAGTTGGAGATGCTGCTGCTGAGACTGGAGCGTGCCACTAAGAGATGGGGCCTTACCATCAGCCCCCACCAAAACTAAGCTCCTGCCTGGGTATTTGGTACCATCGGACACTCCACCCCCCACAACTCCCAATCGGTGATGGGGCAGTTGTGGAGAGAGTGGAGAATTTCCCATACCTGGGCAGTGTGCTCATGACCGGCTCCAGTTTAACAGCAGAGGTCTCACTCCGAATCAGTCGAGCGGCAATATCTTTTCATCGGTTGCGTAACGCTGTGTGGAAGCTACCTGGTCTGTCGCTCCGCACTGAGCTTCAGGTCTTCCCGGCCACGGTCATTCCCTCCCTTCTCTACGCTTGCGAAACGTGGACCCCCCTAATGGAACATCTTTGCCGGTTAGAAACATTTAGGCTGGCCTGCCTACGATCCATCCTGGAGTTAACCAGGCTGGATCGTGTGAGGAGCTCACAAATCCTTGAAAGATCTGGGCAAGGTCCCATCGGTGAGCTCCTCCGGCGGGCAAGGCTGCGATGGCTGGGTCATGTAGCCCGCATGCCCAGCCACCGCATGCCGAAACAGCTTTTGTTCGGCCGGATCGAGGGGGCTAAGCGGGCGCGGCACGGGCTAGAGAAGAGATGGAGTGATGTGGTACAGGAGGACGTGGAGCTGAGTGGACTTGCCGATGACTGGTACCAGCGGTGTCAAGATCGGCCTCTGTGGAGGAGGCTCGTGAAGGATGCTACTGGGCAGTTGGAGGCAGTCACCCTCCAACAACAACGGAGGGTGGAGGAGCGACGCTCACAACAACGAGCGGAGCGCCGGGTGGCTAAAGCACAGCAGGTTGGCACAGTAGGGGGCACAGGTGGTGCATCAGCCACTCATCTCAGTCGACCCGTGGCACCTGGGTCTGCCCCGTGACCTTCTGCCAGCGGGCGTTCGACACTTCACGTGGCCTCAGGGTGCACATAGCCTGGCACAAGCGTCGTGGTGACGTCACCGCCACTTGGTGGCGAATGGCGGTTGTTGTTGTCTGTGTGTGAGTCTGAATCTGTGTGTGTGTGTTTGTGTGTGTGTGTCTGGTAACCTCTCGTATCTCCGTGGCAACGCCTATCTCCATGGTAACCCCCCGTATCTGCACGGTGACCTCTGTCTCCATAGCAACCCCACGGTAACCTCTGTCTCCATGGCAACCAGGTAGCCATGGTGAAGCTGGCTAACCCACTGTACACGGCATGGATTCTGGACGCCATCCGAAAGGTCAAAAGGCAGAAACAACGTCCATCGGAGGAGCGTATCTGTCATGCCGTGCAGGTGAGGGGTGGGTGGGTGAGTGGGTGAGTGAGTGGGTGAGTGGGTGGGTGAGTGGGTGAGTGAGTGGGTGAGTGGGTGAGTGGGTTGGTGGGTGAGTGGGTGGGTGGGTGGGTGAGTGGGTGAGTGAGTGGGTGAGTGAGTGAGTGGGTGGGTGAGTGAGTGGGTGAGTGAGTGAGTGGGTGAGTGGGTGGGTGGGTGAGTGGGTGGGTGGGTGAGTGGGTGGGTTGGTGGGTGGGTGAGTGAGTGAGTGGGTGGGTGGGTGGGTGAGTGGGTGGGTGAGTGAGTGAGTGCGTGAGTGAGTGGGTGAGTGAGTGAGTGGGTGAGTGGATGGGTGAGTGAGTGGGTGGGTGGGTGAGTGAGTGGGTGAGTGAGTGGATGAGTGGGTGGGTGAGTGAGTGAGTGAGTGGGTGAGTGAGTGGGTGAGTGAGTGGTGAGTGGGTGAGTGGGTGGGTGAGTGAGTGAGTGAGTGGGTGAGTGAGTGAGTTGGTGAGTGAGTGGGTGGGTGAGTGGGTGGGTGAGTGAGTGAGTGGGTGAGTGAGTGGATGGGTGAGTGGGTTGGTAGGTGGGTGAGTGGGTGGGTGAGTGGGTGAGTGAGTGGGTGGGTGAGTGGGTGAGTGGGTGGGTGAGTGGGTGGGTGAGTGAGTGGGTGGGTGAGTGAGTGGATGGGTGAGTGGGTGAGTGAGTGAGTGGGTGGGTTGGTGGGTGAGTGGGTGGGTGAGTGGGTGAGTGGGTGGGTGAGTGGGTGGGTGGGTTAGTGGGTGAGTGGGTGAGTGGGTGAGTGAGTGGGTGAGTGAGTGGGTGAGTGAGTGAGTTGGTGAGTGGGTGGGTGAGTGAGTGAGTGAGGGGTGAGTGGGTGAGTGGGTGAGTGGATGGGTGAGTGAGTGTATGGGTGAGTGGGTGAGTGGGTGGGTGGGTGAGTGGGTGGGTGAGTGGGTGAGTTGGTGGGTGAGTAAGTGGGTGGGTGGGTGAGTGGGTGGGTGAGTGAGTGGGTGAGTGAGTGGGTGAGTGAGTGGGTGGGTGAGTGAGTGAGTGGGTGGGTGGGTGAGTGGGTGGGTGGGTGGGTGAGTGGGTGGGTGAGTGAGTGAGTGAGTGGGTGGGTGGGTGAGTGGGTGGGTGGGTTGGTGAGTGGGTGGGTGGGTGAGTGGGTGGGTGAGTGGGTGAGTGAGTGGGTGAGTGAGTGGGTGGGTGGTTGAGTGGGTGAGTGAGTGGGTGAGTGAGTGGGTGGGTTGGTGGGTGGGTTGGTGGGTGGGTGAGTGGGTGGGTGAGTGGGTGGGTGGGTTAGTGGGTGGGTGAGTGGGTGAGTGGGTGGGTGGGTGAGTGGGTGGGTGAGTGGGTGGGTGAGTGGGTGGGTGGGTGAGTAAGTGGGTGGGTGAGTGAGTGGGTGAGTGAGTGAGTGGGTAAGTGGGTGGGTGAGTGGGTGAGTGAGTGGGTGAGTGGGTGGGTGGGTGAGTGAGTGGGTGAGTGAGTCAGTGGGTGGGTGAGTGAGTGAGTGGGTGAGTGGATGGGTGAGTGGGTGGGTGAGTGGGTGGGTGAGTGAGTGGGTGGGTGAGTGGATGGGTGAGTGAGTGGGTGGGTGAGTGAGTGAGTGGGTCGGTGGGTGGGTGAGTGGGTGAGTGGGTGGGTGAGTGAGTGGGTGAGTGAGTGGGTGGGTGGGTGGGTGAGTGAGTGAGTGAGTGGGTGAGTGAGTGGGTGAGTGAGTGGGTGAGGTGGGTGAGTGGGTGGGTGGGTGGGTGAGTGAGTGAGTGGGTGGGTGGGTGAGTGGATGGGTGGGTTGGTGGGTGAGTGAGTGAGTGAGTCGGTGAGTGGGTGGGTGGGTGGGTGAGTGGGTGGGTGGGTGAGTGAATGAGTGGTCATGCTCTAATCTCTCTCTAATCTCTCTCTAATCTCTCCCTAATCTCTCTCTAATCTCTCCCTAATCTCTCTCTAATCTATCTCTCATCTCTCCCTAATCTCTCCCTAATCTCTCTCTAATCTCTCTAATCTCTCCCTAATCTCTCTCTAACCTCTCTAATCTCTCTAATCTCTCCCTAATCTCTCCCTCATCTCTCCCTAATCTCTCCCTAATATCTCTCTAATCTCTCCCTAATCCCTCTCTAATCTCTCCCTAATCTCTCCCTAATCTCTCTCTAATCTCTCCCTAATCTCTCTAATCTCTCCCTAATCTCTCCCTAATCTCTCTCTAATCTCTCCCTAATCTCTCCCTAATCTCTCCCTAAACTCTCTCTAATCTCTCTCTAATCTCTCCCTAATCTCTCCCTAATCTCTCCCTAAACTCTCTCTAATCTCTCTCTAATCTCTCCCTAATCTCTCCCTAATCTCTCCCTAATCTCTCCCTAAACGCTCTCTAATCTCTCTCTAATCTCTCTAATCTCTCCCTAATCTCTCCCTAATCTCTCCCTAAACTCTCCCTAATCTCTCTCTAATCTCTCCCTAATCTCTCCCTAATCTCTCCCTAATCTCTCCCTAATCTCTCCCTAAACTCTCCCTAATCTCTCCCCAATCTCTCCCTAATCTCTCTCTAATCTCTCCCTAATCTCTCTAATCTCTCCCCAATCTCTCTCTAATCTCTCCCTAATCTCTCCCATCTCTCTAATCTCTCTCTAATCTCTCCCTTATCTCTCCCATCTCTCCCTAATCTCTCTCCAATCTCCCTAATCTCTCTCTAATCTCTCCCTTATCTCTCCCATCTCTCGCTAATCTCTCCCTAATCTCTCCCCAATCTCTCGCTAATCTCTCCCTAATCTCTCCCTAATCTCTCCCCAATCTCTCTCCAATCTCTCCCTAATCTCTCCCATCTCTCTAATCTCTCTCTAATCTCTCCCTTATCTCTTCCATCTCTCCCTAATCTCTCCCCAATCTCTCGCTAATCTCTCCCTAATCTCTCCCTAATCTCTCCCCAATCTCTCTCTAATCTCTCCCTAATCTCTCCCCAATCTCCCTAATCTCTCCCTAATCTCTCTAATCTATCCCCAATCTCCCTAATCTCTCTCCAATCTCTCCCCAATCTCTCCCCAATCTCTCCCTAATCTCTCCCTAATCTCTCTCTAATCTCTCCCTAATCTCTCCCATCTCTCCCTAATCTCTCTCCCATCTCTCTAATCTCTCTCTAATCTCTCCCTAAACTCTCCCTAATCTCTCCCCAATCTCTCTAATCTCCCTAACCTCTCCCTAATCTCTCTAATCTCTCTCCCATCTCCCTAATCTCTCACTAATCTCTCCCTAATCTCTCCCATCTCTGTAATCTCTCTCTAATCTCTCCCTTTTCTCTCCCTAATCTCTCCAATCTCTCTCTAATCTCTCCCTAATCTCTCCCCAATCTCTCTAATCTCTCCCTTATCTCTCTCCCATCTCCCTAATCTCTCCCCAATCTCTCTCTAATCTCTCCCCCAATCTCTCTAATCTCTCCCTAATCTCTCCTCTAATCTCTCTCTAATCTCTCCCATCTCTCCCTAATCTCTCACTAATCTCTCCCTAATCTCTCCCATCTCTCTAATCCCTCTCTAATCTCTCCCTTATCTCTCCCATCTCTCCCTAATCTCTCTCCCATCTCCCTAATCTCTCCCTAATCTCTCCCTAATCTCTCCCATCTCTCTAATCTCTCCCTTATCTCTCCCATCTCTCCCTAATCTCTCCAATCTCCCTAATCTCTCTCTAATCTCTCCCTAACCTCTCCCCAATCTCTCTAATCTCTCCCTAATCTCTCCCCAATCTCTCCCTAATCTCTCCCTAATCTCTCCCTAATCTCTCCCCAATCTCTCCTTAATCTCTCCCCAATCTCTCCCCAATCTCTCCCCAATCTCTCCCTAATCTTTCCCATCTCTCTAATCTCTCTCTAATCTCTCTCTAATCTCTCCCTTATCTCTCCCATCTCTCCCTAATCTCTCCCTTATCTCTCCCTTATCTCCCATCTCTCTAATCTCTCCCTTATCTCTCCCATCTCTCTCTAATCCCTCTCTAATCTCTCCCTTATCTCTCCCATCTCTCTCTAATCTCTCCCTAATCTCTGCCATCTCCCTAATCTCTCCCTAACCTCTCTCTAACCTCTCCCCAATCTCTCTCCCCACCCCCCACCCACACCCCACCCCTCCCACACCCCCACCCACACCCCCACCCCTCCCCCACCAGGGTGCCCATGGGCTTGCACCTCTCACGGTGCGTGAGCAGTTGGAGCTGAGCGTCAAGGACCGCACGGTCCTCCGTGTCCTCAGCAAGGGCCGCACCTCCTACCGTGACCCCAGCCGGCCCGGCAGGGCAACGGCCGTGTTGCCTGACCGCCCCGGCGCTGTCGCCGGCGGTGGTGGCGGCGGTGGTGAGCAGAGGAACGGTGGTGGTGGTGGTGGTTTGGCTTCCAACGTTGGAGGGCATGGGGTGAGTGGGTGTGGGGTGAGCGGGGTGGGTGTGTGGGTGGGTGTGTGGGTAGGTGGGTGGGTGAGTGGGTGGGTGGGTGGGTGAGTGGGTGAGTGGGTGGGTGGGTGAGTGAGTGAGTGAGTGGGTGGGTGAGTGAGTGAGTGGGTGAGTGAGTGAGTGGGTGGGTGAGTGGGTGTGGTGAGTGAGTGAGTGGGTGAGTGGGTGGGTGGGTGGGTGAGTGAGTGGGTGAGTGAGTGAGTGGGTGAGTGGGTGAGTGGGTGAGTGAGTGAGTGGGTGGGTGAATGGGTGAGTGAGTGGGTGGGTTAGTGGGTGGGTGGGTGAGTGGGTGGGTGAGTGGGTGTGGTGAGGGAGTGTGTGAGTGGGTGGGTGAGTGAGTGGGTGAGTGAGTGAGTGGGTGGGTGAATGGGTGGGTGAGTGTGTGAGTGAGTGTGTGGGTGTGTGAGTGGGTGGGTGAGTGAGTGGGTGGGTGAATGGGTGGGTGAGTGTGTGAGTGGGTGGTTGATTGGGTGAGTGAGTGAGTGGGTGGGTGAGTGGGTGGGTGAGTGGGTGAGTGAGTGGGTGAGTGTGTGTGTGAGTGGGTGTGTGCGTGAGTGAGTGGGTGAGTGGGTGAGTGGGTATGTGGGTGAGTGTGTGTATTACCATCATTAGGGGAAAAAACGGTGATCCAATCTCCGACCCCCAGGAACAGGTTTGCAGATTTGCTCAGCATTTCTGTGAGGTCCTGGGGGAGGGAAAATCCCTTAGCCAGGAAAACATCGTGGCACAAAGTGAGGATGACCCTGCTGAGGCTGCGGTGCCTCAAATATTGGAAGATGTCACCCCCTGTGAGTGACTGGCTGAGGTGCCATCTGCTGAGGAAGTACTGAGGGCGATCCGGAGTCTGAGACCAGGAAAGGCAGCGGGCAGAGATGATCTCCCAAGCGAAATGCTGAGGGAGGGTGGCGTTTGTGCACAGACTGCCCTTTATGACATAACAACAGTCTGGACCACTGGACGGGTTCCGCAGGATTGGAAGGATGCCCTGGTGGTCCCCCTTTTTAAGAAGGGGGACCGCACAGACTGTAACAACTACAGGGGCATTTCACTCCTCAGTGTGCCGGGAAAGGTCCTGGCAAGGATTATTCAACATCGCCTTGCCAGGCACGCTGAGGAGAGGCTTGCGGAGCCCCAATGCGGTTTCAGGAAAGGGCGGTCCTGCACAGATGCCATATTTTCTGTCCGTCTGCTACAGCAGAGGTGTAGGGAATTCCAAAAAGACCTACATCTCTGCTTTATTGACCTGGTCAAGGCCTATGATACCATCAGTAGGACTGGGCTCTGGGTTGTTCTTCGTGCTTTTGGAGTACCTGACCCTCTGCTCACGATCATTAAGGACCTTCATGATGGTGAGCAGGCCCGGGTAAAACTACGTTGCCGGGAGTCAGAGCCATTCCCTGTACACCTTGGGGTGCGACAGGGATGTCCTCTGGCTCCCACATTATTTAACATCTATTTTGACTACGTAGTTCGTGAAGCCTTCAATAGCTGTACCGGGGGAATCTTTATATGGTACAGATATAATGGGAGGCTGATCGATGCCCGGGTGCGGTCAAGGGATGGCTCCCTATTGCTCAACCACGTTATGTATGCTGATGATTTGGTAATAGCTGCTCATTCAAAGGAGGAGTTGGAGACGCTGCTGCTGAGACTGGAGCGTGCCACTAAGAGATGGGGCCTTACCATCAGCCCCACCAAAACTAAGCACCTGCCTGGGTATTTTGTACCATCGGACACTCCACCCCCACAACTCCCAATCGGTGATGGGGCAGTTGTGGAGCAAGTGGAGAGTTTCCCATACTTGGGCAGTGTGCTTATGACCGGCTCCAGTTTAACAGCAGAGGTCTCACTCCGAATCAGTCGAGCGGCAATATCTTTTCATCGGTTGCGTAACGCTGTGTGGAAGCTACCTGGTCTGTCGCTCCGCACTAAGCTTCAGGTCTTCTCGGCCACGGTCATTCCCTCCCTTCTCTACGCTTGCAAAACGTGGACCCCCCTAATGGAACATTTTCGCCGGTTAGAAACATTTAGGCTGGCCTGCCTACGATCCATCCTGGGTTTAACCAGGCTGGATCGTGTGAGGAGCTCACAAATCCTTGAAAGATCGGGGCAAGGTCCCATCGGTGAGCTCCTCCGGCAGGCAAGGCTGCGATGGCTGGGTCATGTAGCCCGCATGCCCAGCCACCGCATGCTGAAACATCTTTTGTTCGGCCGGATCGAGGGGGCTAAACGGGCACGGCACGGGCTGGAGAAGAGATGGAGTGATGTGGTACAGGAGGACGTGGAGCTGAGTGGACTTGCCGATGACTGGTACCAGCGGCGTCAAGATCGGCCTCTGTGGAGGAGGCTCGTGAAGGACGCTACTGGGCAGTTGGAGGCAGTCGCCCTCCAACAACAACGGAGGGCGGAGGAGCGACGCTCACAACAACGAGCGGAGCGCCGGGTGGCTAAAGCACAGCAGGTTGGCACAGTAGGGGGCACAGGTGGTGCATCAGCCAGTCATCTCAGTCAGTCGACCCGTGGCACCTGGGTCTGCCCCGTGACCTCCTGCCAGCGGGCGTTCGACACTTCACTTGGCCTCAGGGTGCACATAGCCTGGCACAAGCGTCGTGGTGACGTCACCGCCACTTAGTGGTGAATGGCGGTTGTTGTTGAGTGGGTCTGTGGGTGTGTATGTGCGTGGGTGTGTGGGTGCGTGAGTGTGTGGGTGTGTGGGTGTGGGTGTGTGGGTGCGTGGGTGTGTGGGTGTGTGGGTGTGTGGGTGTGTGGGTGCGTGAGTGAGTGGTTGAGTGGGTGAGTGAGTGGGTGAGTGGGTGGGTGAGTGCGTGAGTGGGTATGTGGGTTGGTGAGTGGGTGAGTGAGTGGGTGAGTGAGTGAGTGGGTGAGTGAGTGGGTGAGTGAGTGGGTGAGTGAGTGAGTGGGTGAGTGAGTGAGTGGGTGAGTGGGTGAGTGAGTGGGTGAGTGAGTGAGTGGGTGAGTGGGTGAGTGAGTGAGTGAGTGGGTGAGTGAGTGAGTGGTTATGTTGGTTGGTGGGTGAGTGAGTGAGTGAGCGAGCGGGCGAGCGAGCGGGCGGGCGAATGTGCGGTCGAGCGGGACCGCCCATCATAACCCTCACCTCTGCATCTCTCCCACGCCCCTCACCGCACTCCACTCACCACACACCCCCCCCCCCCCCTCAGCTCACCACCACCACCACCACCTTCTCCCCCTCTTCCCTCCCATCGTCGCCGTCGGCGGCCGTCCCTCCCGCTCCCGCTCCCCCTTCATCTTCACTCTCCTGGTACGGCAACAACACCAGCCAACAACAGCAACAGCAACAACAGCAGCAGCAGCAGCAACAGCAGCAGCAGCACCGCCAACATCTCCAGCCGCAGCATCGCCAGCAGCAGCAGCAGCAGCAGCCGCCGGGCTGCGTCATCGTCGCCGGCCAGGCCGGCGCTCGCCTCCAGCACCCCACCGGCTCGGAGTGGGTTCAGCTCCTGGTCAAGGCCGCGTTGGCCCTCAAGGGCGGCGGCGTCGGCGGTGTCGGCGTCGGTGTCGCCGGCGTCGGCGGAGTCGGCGGCGGCCGCAGGAGATGCCGGGGGATGTTTGGCGACAGCGGCGGCGTCGGCGTCGGCGGCCCCCCGTCGTCCAGGCGAAGCCTGGCGCAGGCCCGGGGAGGAGGAGGAGGAGGAGGAGGAGGAGGCGACGGAGCAGCAGCAGCAGCAGCGGCAGCGGCAGCAGCGGCGGCACGGGGAGGTGCTGGCGTGTCGGATTCCAGCGCGGCCCTGCCCGGCGGCCCTCCGTCGTCCAGACGAAGCCTCACGCAGGCCCGAGGAGGAGGAGGAGGAGCGGCGGCATTGGCGTTGGCAGGCGGCGGCGGCGGCGTCTCCCTGCGCGAGATGGAGCGTTACCTGCGGTCGACCCCGGCCCTCGGGTGCCTGTCGGCCACGGCGTCGTTCCAGCACCAGCTGCGGCTGGCGGCTCGCCGGGCAGTGACGGCCGGCCTCCTCCTCAAGGACGGGCCCCTGTACAGCCCCACGGCGGCGGCGTCGGCGTCGGCGTCGGCGCTGCCGCCGGCGGTGTCGGCGTCGGCGGCGTCCAACGCGCGGTTCGCCCGGACGGGGTTCACGCCGTGCAGGGAGTCGGTCAAGGGCGGAGCGGCGGGTGGAGGTGGTGGAGTGTGGAGGACTGCGAGAGGCGGTGGTGTTGGTGGTGGTGTTGGTGGTGGTGGAGGTGGAGGCGATGGGCTGTTGTCCAGCTTGCCACCTGTCTCTCTACTGCCTCACGAGCGGAACAAGGTGATGGTGGTGGTGGTGATGGTGGTGGTGGTGATGATGGTGATGATGACGGTGATGGTGGTGGTGGTGATGATGGTGATGGTGGTGGTGGTGATGGTGGTGGTGGTGATGATGGTGATGATGACGGTGATGGTGGTGATGGTGGTGATGATGGTGGTGGTGGTGGTGGTTATGGTGGTGGTAGTGGTGATGGTGGTGGTGGTGGTTATGGTGGTAGTGGTTATGGTGATAATGATGGTGGTGATAGTGATGATGGTGATGGTGGTGGTGATGGTGGTGGTGGTGGTGATGATGGTGGTGGTTGTGGTGGTGATAGTGACGGTGATATTGACGGTGGTGATAGTGACGGTGGTGGTGATGACGGTGGTGGTGGTGGTGATGGTGGTGACGGTGGTGGTGATGACGGTGGTGGTGGTGATGATGAGTGTAGTGGTGGTGATGAGTGTGGTGGAGATTGAATCTTTACCCTCGGGGCTCCTCCAGAAACAACGAAAAGCCACTTCGTGTGGCCACGTGGAATGTTCGAACGCTCACTGTGGAGGAGAGAGGCTGCCACTCCTCTGTCGGGAGCTGGACCGGTACCGCCTGGATCTATACGGCATTCAGGAGGTCCGGTGGACCGGTTCTGGCTCCTGCCACCATGAGGGGTGGACAGTCCTCTACTCGGGGCAGCAGACTGCCAAGCAACAGGGTGTGGCTCTTCTTCTGAACAAAAGAATGAAGGGGGCGTGGGAGCGTGGCGGTGGGGTGTGGGAAGCTGTAAGCCCCAGGCTACTTTGGGCTCGCCTTCCCATCAACCGGAGGCGAGGAGTGGTGGTCGTGGTTACTTATGCCCCCACCGAAGACGAACATCCGTGGAGGGATGCAGGCAAGGCCGATGAGTCAGATGCCTTCTATGACCTCCTGTCACAGGTGCTGGCTAAAGTGACCCCTGGGGATAGAGTCATCTTGTTGGGCGACTTCAATGCCCGAGTTGGTCATGATGCTAGCACCTGGCCTGGAGTGATTGGAAGGCATGGGCCAGATCAGCTCAATAACAACGGTAGGAGGCTGCTAGATTTTTGTGCAGCCCATGGGCTTGTAATTACCAACACGCTGTTCCGGCATCCGCGCATCCACACAACATCATGGATGCATGCCGGGTCCAAGCAAGAACATCTGCTGGACTACATAGTGACGGACCAGCGGATGCGGGCCCTTGTCCTTGACACCAGGACCTACCGTGGAGCTGATCTGCCCACTGACCATCGACTAGTCATCTGTAAGATGCGCCTGCCATTCTTCCACTCTGGTGGTGGGTGTACACCCAGGACCCCATTCCAACCTATGGTGGCCTGGTCTCAGCTAGCTGATGAAAGTCGCAAGCGATAATTTCATCATCGCTTGCGGCTGTGATTGACATCGTCCCCCACTCCTCCTGATGTCGAGAGTAAATGGGCAAGGTTTAGGACTGTGACTCATGCAGCTGCAATGGCTGCTTTAGGTACGCGGTCCAGACCTCCCCAGGGACCCTGGCCGACAGAGGAGGTGTTCAGGATGGTTGAGAAAAAGCGACAGGCTCACTGTCATCGGCTACAGAATCCCACGTCAGAGAATGAGGAGGCTTACCGCAGCCTTCGCTCGGAGGTTCGGAGAGCCGTGAGGCGCTGCAAGGATGGGTGGTGGTCGCGGGTTGCTGAGGAGATGGAGTCTGCCTCAGTGGCCCGCGATCACAAATCTCTATTTAACTCCATCAAAAAAGTAACCTGCAGCGCCACACCTATTACCATCATTAGGGGAAAAAACGGTGATCCAATCTCCGACCTCCAGCAACAGGTTTGCAGATTTGCTGAGCATTTCTGTGAGGTCCTGGGGGAGGGGAAATCCCTCACAGACTGCCTTACATGACATAACAACAGTCTGGACCACTGGACGGGTTCCGCAGGATTGGAAGGATGCCCTGGTGGTCCCCCTCTTTAAGAAGGGGGACCGCACAGAATGTAACAACTACAGGGGCATCTCACTCCTCCGTGTGCTGGGAAAGGTCCTGGCAAGGATTATCAATATCGCCTTGCCAGGCACGCTGAGGAGAGGCTTGCGGAGCCCCAATATGGTTTCAGGAAAGGGCGGTCCTGCACAGATGCCATATTTTCTGTCCGTTTGCTACAGCAGAGGTGTAGGGAATTCTAATAAGACCTACATCTCTGCTTCATTGACCTGGTCAAGGCCTATGATACCATCAGTAGGCCTGGGCTCTTTGTTCGGCCGGATAGAGGCGGCTAAACGGGCATGGCACGGGCTAGAGAAGAGATGGAGTGATGTGGTACAAGAGGACATGGAGCTGAGTGGACTTGCCGATGACCGGTACCAGCGGTGTCAAGATCGGCCTCTGTGGAGGAGGCTCGTGAAGGACGCTACTGGGCAGTTGGAGGCAGTCGCCCTCCAACAACAACGGAGGGCGGAGGAGCGATGCTCACAACAACGAGCGGAGCGCCGGGTGGCTAAAGCACAGCAGGTTGGCACAGTAGGGGGCACAGGTGGTGCATCAGCCAGTCATCTCAGCCAGTCGACCCGTGGCACCTGCTGGGTCTGCCCCGTGACCTCCTGCCAGCGGGCGTTCAACACTTCACGTGGCCTCGAGGTGCACATGGCCTGGCACAAGCGTCGTGGTGACGTCACCGCCACTAAGTGGCGAATGGCGGTTGTTGATGGTGGTGGTGACGGTGGTGGTGATGATGATGATGATTGTGGTGATGGTGATGGTGGTAGTGATGATGATGATGATGGTGGTGGTGGTGATGATGGTGGTGGTGATGGTGGTGATAGTTGTGGGTGATGGTGGTGATGGTGATGATGATGGTGGTGATGGTGGTGGTGTTTGTGATGATGGTGGTGGGTTATGGTGGTGATGATGATGGTGGTTGTGATGATGGTGGTGGTGGTGACGGTGGCGGTGGTGATGATGAGTGTAGTGGTGGTGATGAGTGTGGTAGAGATTGAATCTTTACCCTCGGGGTTCCTCCAGAAACAACGAAAAGCCACTTCGTGTGGCCACGTGGAATGTTCGAACGCTCACTGTGGTGGAGAGGCTGCCACTCCTCTGTCGGGAGCTGGACCGGTACCGCCTGGATCTATTTGGTATTCAGGACGTATGTTGGACCGGTTCTGGCTCCTGCCACCATGAGGGGTGGACAGTCCTCTACTCGGGGCAGCAGACTGCCAAACAACAGGGTTTGGCTCTTCTTCTGAACAAAAGAATGAAGGGGGCGTGGGAGCGTGGCGGTGAGGTGTGGGAAGCTGTAAGCCCCAGGCTACTTTGGGCTCGCCTTCCCATTTACCGGAGGCGAGGAGTGGTGGTCGTGGTTACTTATGCCCCCACCGAAGACGAACATCCGTGGAGGGATGCAGGCAAGGCCGATGAGTCTGATGCCTTCTATGACCTCCTGTCACAGGTGCTGGCTAAAGTGGCCCCTCGGGATAGAGTCATCTTGTTGGGCGACTTCAATGCCCAAGTTGGTCATGATGCTAGCACCTGGCCTGGAGTGATTGGAAGGCATGGGCCAGATCAGCTCAATAACAACGGTAGGAGGCTGCTAGATTTTTGTGCAGCCCATGGGCTTGTAATTACCAACACGCTGTTCCGGCATCGGCGCATCCACACAACATCATGGATGCATGCCGGGTCCAAGCAAGAACATCTGCTGGACTACGTAGTGACGGACCAACGGATGCAAGCCCATGTCCTTGACACCAGGACCTACCGTGGAGCTGATCTGCCCTCTGACCATCGACTAGTCATCTGTAAGATGCGCCTGCCATGCTTCCACTCCAGTGGTGGGTGTACACCCAGGACCCCATTCCAACCTATGGTTGTCTGGTCTCAGCTAGCTGATGAAAGTTGCAAGCGAGAATTTCATCATCGCTTGCGGCTGTGATTGGCATCGTCCCCCACTCCTCCTGATGTCGAGGGTAAATGGGCGAAGTTTAGGACTGTGACTCATGCAGCTGCAATGGCTGCTTTGGGTACGCGGTCCAGACCTCCCCAGAGACCCTGGCTGACAGAGGAGGTGTTCAGGATGGTTGAGAAAAAGCGACAGGCCCACTGTCATCGGCTACAGAATCCCACGTCAGAGAATGAGGAGGCTTACCGCAGCCTTCGCTCGGAGGTTCGGAGAGCCGTGAGGCGCTGCAAGGATGGGTGGTGGTCGCGGGTTGCTGAGGAGATGGAGTCTGCCTCAGTGGCCCGCGATCACATCTCTATTTAACTCCATCAAAAAGTAACCTGCAGCGCCACACCTATTATCATTAGGGGAAAAAACGGTGATCCAATCTCCGACCCCCCAGGAGCAGGTTTGCAGATTTGCTCGGCATTTCTGTGAGGTGCTGGGGGAGGGGAAATCCCTCACAGACTGCCCTACATGACATCATAACAACAGTCTGGACCACTGGACGGGTTCCGCAGGATTGGAAGGATGCCCTGGTGGTACCCCTCTTTAAGAAGGAGGACCGCACAGACTGTAACAACTACAGGAGCATCTCACTCCTCAGTGTGCCGGGAAAGGTCCTGGCAAGGATTATCAATATCGCCTTGCCAGGCACGCTGAGGAGAGGCTTGAGGAGCCCAAATATGGTTTCAGGAAAGGGCAGTCCTGCACAGATGCCATATTTTCTGTCCGTTTGCTACAGCAGAGGTGTAGGGAATTCTAATAAGACCTACATCTCTGCTTCATTGACCTGGTCAAGGCCTATGATACCATCAGTAGGCCTGGGCTCTTTGTTCGGCCAGATAGAGGGGGCTAAACGGGCGCGGCACTGGCTAGAGAAGAGATGGAGTGATGTGGTACAGGAGGATTTGGAGCTGAGTGGACTTGCCGATGACCGGTACCAGCGGTGTCAAGATCGGTCTCTGTGGAGGAGGCTCGTGAAGGACGCTACTGGGCAGTTGGAGGCAGTCGCCCTCCAACAACAACGGAGGGCGGAGGAGCGATGCTCACAACAACGAGCGGAGCGCCGGGTGGCTA